CTCAACATTGTTATGTAATGGCATTATTACTTATTAGCATAACTATTCACCAAGTAAAGTATATTATCATAACTATCTACCAAGTAAAGTATATTTACATACAAACTACTATACGGTGTAGACTAAAAGATACCCTTTATAATACTCTTTATGATTTTTGATATTAAAGACGGCATTTAGAATATATAAATATTTATTGTGACATTCATATAGTGCAACACATACCTCTATATTAATGAACTATCTGTCAAAATTAAAGATAGACAAGATAATTACTTATTGCATGACAATTAAATTATACTATATAAACAGAAGGGAACGTATCTGATCCAAAGTGAATCCTATACACAGCGTGATTAATTATAACTAATATAAATAATTTCAGTTTTAATTAATCACACTATATGTAGAATTCACTTTGGATCAGGTATGTTTCCTCCTGTTCACTACATATGAGACAATTTAGATATGTTGTTAGTTTTAAGTATATACTATATTATTAGTAAATTGTCGCATAGTGTGATTTAATTTTTTATATAATAAGTAATTATGTACTAGTACGTATATACATACATGTCTTTTTCATCTCTAACCGGAATGTATAATTTAAAATATTTGTGCCTTCTTGTAACTATCAATAGTGTAGAATACTATAGAGTGAATCTACAAATTATTTTAATAATGCAAGACTTGAGGATATACTTTTTTGCTGAAAAGTAAACTATATTATACTCTTTTAAAATTACTTTTACAAATTATCAAAGCTATTATTTGAGTATGAAAATTATACTATAAAAATTCATATAATACTGAATAGCATCATCTTTTTAAGCACCAATTACATAAATGCAAATAAAACATACTATGAGTCTAATAAATTAGACATATTATGTTAAAAAAAAAAAAACAAAAAAAAAAACAAAAGATTATAAAAGGATAATTAGAATAGAATTAGCTTCTAAAGTTTCATATCATAGTGGCAAAAAGAAAAAAAATGTCTAACCTTCAGCTTGAAATCCTTTATGACCATAGCTATGGTGAATCTAATGTGAAAAACCATTTAAATTGGAATCACAAATGACATAATATTATTTGGTCAGATGAGTCCAATTTTAAGTGTACTCTCAATGAAGAATTTGATGAATTGTGCCTAGGTTCTACCATAAATCATAACTCTAGTCTCATGTTCTGGGCTTGCTTTTCATAGCATGAACTAGAACCGATAGTCCCCATTCGTGGCAATGTAAATGGTGAAGTTTATGCTAAACTTATAGTAAATCATGCTATTTCCGCTATATGATGTCTAGTTTCTGATGAGCAAGGTATTTTTCAGCAAGACAGTGCTACCCCTCATAAATATTGGAAAGTTAAAGAAGTTTTTGAACAAGCTAGTATTCCCATCCTCTCTTGGCTTGCCCAAAGTCCAGATATGAGTCCAATGGAACTCATGTAGCAAGAAGTTGAAAGACAGTTGCATAATTTTTTAGATAAACCTACAAATATTGATGATTTGGAGGAAAAGGTCATAGCAGCGTGATATTCAATTTCATTCCAATATTATCATGGGATGGTGCATAGGTAATTCATCAATAAAAACATGATATAAAACTAAAGGCAGATTTTTGTGATCATGTAGTTTTGCAATCATGTAGCTTTAAGTTCTGCGATTATATAGCAACAATGCCATTATGAAAGTATTAAATAAAATAAAAAAATATTTCAACCCAAGTTAAAGTTGTTTCTGTTACTATTATAGATTGAAATCATTTTTTATTCATGAGCCACTAATTAAAGTTATTTAAACTAAAATTTTAATAATACTTACCTATTGAGAAATAATAGCAAATCTACTCTAACCAGTAGGTTGTATTAGTTCTAAATCTGTCTCAAGACTAGTTCTAACCTTTACATTTTGAAAATTTTTGAATTTTTGAGATACTTTGCCACTATTTTTCAATAAATAAGTACTATTAAAATTTTGTTTAAAATAACTTTAATTAGTGGCTCACAAAGAAAAAATGATCTCAAAAACTTGCAATCTGCTTAGGACCAACAGGACCAATTTGGGACCAATTTGAGACCAATCCATCCCTAGTTGAGATCTTAATGTGATTATTAAAAAATATGTAATTTATATAATAAAAAATGATTAAATAAAACCTATAATTCAAATGTTTAATTATTAAATAAGCAGTGGAATAAGCATAGCATAGTAAGAAATGTTCTCAGCTAATCAGATTCAAGATTTTATTAATGTTTAG